CTACCCTTCCCCCAGCACCTCCCTCTCCAGCCCCCAATGCCCTTCCCCTCTCCTCTCCTCTCCCAGCATCACCCTGTCCCCCTTCCACTGACACCTCCCCTCCTGCCCTTTTCCTCATTGTCTGCACTTGGCCCCCTGCAATTTGTATCTTCCCTCTCCACTCCCCCTCCGCACAAGCCCCTTCCTCTCCCACCCCTTCCCTGCCCTGCTGTACCTTCTGCCTTCCACTTTGTGGGGCCAGACTCTGTGCTCAGGCCCCAGAAGTCCCTGGACTCTGAACTGGAAGCTAGGCTGTGCAGCCCCACATGGCACCGCACACTTTTAAAGTCCCGGGCCGTGACATCACATCACGCTCGGGCGTCTCCCCGGTCACCTGGAAACGCTGTGCATGGCGGCAGCAGCAGTCGGCAGCGTGCGCAGGCAACGGGGAGCCGACCGAACGCTGCGCACGGCAGGGACGGTCCGGGGCTGGGGGGGAAGACGGCCAATAACTCGCCGTCCATGCACCCAGCATGCGCTCGTTCTCATCCTGGCCGGCAGCCCCCTAGCGTGATACCCGGGGGCAATTGCCCCTCCCCTGCACCTCCTTCGCTACGCCTCTGGTGGGACCTCCCTGGTCTGACACCATCAGGACCTGAGCGGTCCTAAACCACAGTGTTTGCCGGATCAGGGGAGGTCAAGGCTCCCCTCCCAGCTGTTGGCCCTGCACCCTACCATAGGCCTGCCCCCAGTCCTGTCAGGACTATGCTTCTTGCTCCAGGCCAGAACTACACTCCCCATTGTGCTGACCCTGGCTGGGGCTATGGTCTCACCCCCGGCCCAGGCTGCACTACAGTTGAATTAAAGCACTTCTATCAGATTACTATTGGTTCAGAATCTCTAACAACTGCTGAGCTAGCACAGTAAAACTGGGTACAAGGGTGGAAGACCGTAAGTCCCACTGTCCAAGAGAACTAATTCAAAAGTCATCCAAGTTTGCATCTACCAAAGGCATTAGCAGTTCCTGGAGAAGGTTATGGCTAAGTCTGAGATGATCCTTCAGCTTTTAGTCAACAGTAACCTAAATTTACGGAGGACATGTGAGAGGATAACATGATTTTTGGCTACCAAATAAAAATTCCAGTCTCTACCAAAGATGTGAACTGTTGGATTTTATTACACCACCAAAAATCCACAGTGCAAGTTGTGAATTCATTTCCAGAATTTAAGGAAAGGCCATTGTTTGACATCTGCAGAGATTAAATTATTGGAAGGGTACAGTTCCTTAGTGCATGAACAAACCTTTAACTCATTAGCCTGTAAAGGAAGCATGTCTAATAGTTAATGCAAGGCATTGGGAGCCAAGTATGATCCAAGTTTAGGGATTGGTAGTTTGTAGCAAAAGATTTACCAATTCAGCTGGCCAGACAAGGTTCTAATCCTGCAGTTCTTCCTTGGCGAGAAATCCAGTTCAAAATCAGTGGGACTTCCATCTGAATAATGAGTATCAAGCTCAATATCTTTTTCATTTTTTCCTATTACAATCCTCATTCCAAGTAATCCTTCACATTATATGATGTATGATTTTTTGCAATGTCTCAGTATATTTTACAATCTAGGCTTCAATTGTAATTTAATAAGAGCAGTTGACAAGCTGAAATCCTGCCACAATCCAAAGCAGTGGTGGGCAAGCTGTGGCCTGCAAGACATTTTATTTACTGTTGCCCATGCATAGGGTTGCCAGATTCTGCTGGTATTCATTCACATAGCTTTTCCCCTATGGGTATTATTAAAGTGACATGTACATAAATCAAGGGCACCTGAGGTGAAGTGCATGCTGATTGCACACAACACCGACCATGAGAGCCGTGTGGTTTCTCTGCATCCAATCAAAGTGCTGCTATGGTTCAGTTGGCACTGCCTACAGATTCTAGGTACACAGGTGCAGTTAGCAAAACTACCCAATCTTGGGAGACTGTGTGGGTTATGACAATCTTGCAGCCCACTGAGATGAAAGAGAGCCAATCACACGGCTCACTCACTAGACTAGGTTGCCCATAACTGATACAGAGGAAGGTGGTGAGTTTTTAAATTTGGTATTATGTAAGTAAAGATCACATACTTCCGAGAGCATCAAAAGAGCTAACCCAAGACAGTTTCCTACTGGAAATACATATGGACAAAAAGCCAATCCAGAACATAATAAAGTTCTAAAATATATACAAGTTGCAAAGTTGGTTCTTGTGCTATGCAACAGATTTATTTTTGTCTTGTAAACATGGAACTCAAATAACTCTCCTAAATTATTAAGTCACATTAACGCTACTTGTTTCCAACAAAAATATTTTGAGGTCTACTGTACAAGTTCAGGTGAATTTATTAGAATGGAGAGGAGTAAAGGCAGCTTCTTTAAATTGTGAATTGTTTTATAAAACTAAATTACTTGCTCATAGCAACAGCTACATATTTCAGACCCAACCAGTTCAATCTTACACTTTCCCGAATATGGATAAAGCAAAAAGTACACAAACTATCAATAATTTAAAATTAAATTAGCCTGATTACAGGGAATTCAATAAAACTGCTGTTCAGTACATGAGCAGGATTCGTTTCCAGTGTGTAATGATACAAATCTATTCAATTTTATTAAAAGCTTCGCAAACATGAGTTAGTTTCCTGTAACTATTTCATCTCATCAGCTGTATCTATCTTGTGTCTCCTTTGATTACATTAATTCAGCCAGCTACTGTGAATCATTCTCTGCTCTGTGTGATCATAAACTATGAGAAATGGAGTTTATTCTTAGAGTACGGCTAAGGATTTCACTGCAGCAGATATATGAGGAGTTCTGTAAATTAGCAACTCATTTTACACTGTGAACATTCTCTTCCCTAAAGGAAATGGAAATACTAATTGCCCTATTGTGAGCAAAATCAGTGGGAAAACCCTATAAAACTTCACAGAGAGTAGGATCAGATCCTATTCTAGAGGGAAAGAATGCATTTGCTTGGAAGGTATAAATTTTCATTTATGAAGAGTTGGGAGATCAGCATTCAGATGATACAGTCCATAACGTGGATCTGAAGTGTGTCCATGTCAGGTAGAATTTCTCCACACTTGGGACAGGAATGCATTGGAATATTCCTCTGCTGCTGCTGCCAGTCCTGTTGATTAGTTCCTGCAAAACAAAGAGAAGATCACCTATTACAATGGTCCCCAACACGGTGCCCGCGGGCGCCATGGAGCCCGCAGGGGCATTTGTGTGCGCCCGCCAAGTGCTCGGGGCTGGCCTCGCCCCAGGCACGTGGTGCATGCATGGTACCGGAGCCGGCCCCAGGAGCACCGTGGATTGGCTGCCCCCGGGCCCGC